GGGGGGGGGGGGGGGGTGTGAGGATATGCTGAGAGAAATGATGTTGTACTGGTTCCTGGCAAATCCAGCTCTGCCAAAAGGGAGACCCAATTAGACTGGCATTTTTCTAGAATATGAGTTGAACGAGGTTTCAATCCATAATTTGAACAATAAATCTCATCTCTGTATTTTTAATGATCTTTTAAAGAAGTCCTTTGGTCTTATTTCTATACTGGAACTGATCCTAATCCTCTTAAGATCTGTATGGTAACAGATTAGGAAAGATTACCTACCTACCTGAAAGACGATTGTGTTTCATGTTCTTTCAGTTGTAAATATAACTTAGCCAGTAAGCCTAATCTTCATAATTCTGTTTTTGTTTTGTTTTTACAGTTCTGCCTCTTTTTTTTTTTTTTTTTGCGGTACGCGGGCCTCTCACTGTTGTGGCCTCTCCCGTTGCGGAGCACAGGCTCCGGACACGCAGGCTCAGCGGCCATGGCTCACGAGCCTAGCCGCTTCACGGCATGTGGGATCCTCCCGGACCGGGGCAGGAACCCGTGTCCCCTGCATCGGCAGGTGGACTCTCAACCACTTGCGCCACCAGGGATGCCCAGTTCTGCCTCTTAACAACCAGACTTTTAACAACTTTTTACAACTCTCTGTAGAAACATGGCAATAATACCAATTTCATAGAGATTGTAAGGATCAATTCTAAGATGTTAGTTAACAAGCCCAGTAAAATTTTACTCTTTAAAAATTACCTGTGTTTTCTTTGTAAAAGTTAAGCCATTTTCAATAAAGTTATACATGTTGTAGTTTAAAAAGACACTCTTGCCCTAACCCTATTCACCATATAATTTACAACAAAAAGAAAATAAGGCATTTTAGCTATATTAAGTAAATAAAGCAAGTTGCAAAACTGTATATACAATATAAACTTAAAGTTGTACCTCATCAGTAATTTTTTAAAAGGAAGCAACACAGTTCCATTTACCATAGCATCAAAAAGAATAAAATACTTAGGAATAAACCTAACTAAGGAGGCAAAAGGCTTGTACCCTGGAAACTACAAAATGTTGCTGAAAGAAATTTTAAAAGACACAAATAGGTAGAAAGACCCATATTCATGGATTGGAAGACTTAATATTGTTAAGATGTCAGTACTACAGAAGGCAGTCTACAGATTCAATGCAATAATCTATCAAAATCCCAATGGCATTTTTTGCAGAAATAGAAAAATCCATCCTAAAATTCATATGGAATCTCAAGGGATCTTAAATAGCCAAAGCAATCTTGAAAAAGAAGAACAAAGTTGGAGGTTTCAAACTTCCTGATTTCAAAACTTTTTACAAACCTACAGTAATCAAAACAGTGTGGGACTGGCATAAAGACAGACATAGAGACCAATGGAATATAAAAGAGAGCCCAGAAATAAACCCTGGCATATATGGCCACATGGTTTTCAACATGGGTGCCAAGACCGTTCAATGGAGAAAGGACAGTCTTTTCAACAAATGATGTTGGGAAAACTGGATATTCACATGCAAAAGAATGAAATCGGACCCATACCTTACACCATATGCAAAAATTAACTCAAAGTTCATTTAGCTCTAAGTAATATCTAAAACAAACTCTTAGAAGAAAACATAGGAGAAAAGCTTCATGATGCTGAATTTGACCATTATTTCTTGGGTGTGATACCAAAAGCACAGGCAACTAAAGAAAAAAAATAGATACACTGGACTATATGAAAATTTAAAACTTCTGTGCATCAAAGGACACAATAACAGAGTGAAAAGGCAACCTACAGAATAGGAGAAAATACTGGCAAATCTTGTATCTGATAAGGGGTTACTATACAGAATATACAAAGAACTCCTACAACTGAACAACAAAAAACCCCAAACAACCTGTTTTAAAAATGGGCAAAGGACTTGAATAGACACTTCTCCAAAGAAGATATACAAATGACCAACAAGCACATGAAAGATACTCAACACCACTAATCATCAAGGAAATGCAAATCAAAACCTCAATGAGACACCACCTCACACCCCTTAGGATGGATGCTATCAAAAACAAAACAAAGCAAAAAAACAAAGTAACAAGTGTTGGTGAGGATGTAGAGAAGTTGGAACCTCTTGTACATCACTACCGGGAATGTAAAGTGGTGTAACTTCTGTGGGAGGCAGTATGGTGGTTTCTCAAAAACTTAAAAATAGAACTACCATATGACCCAGCAATTCCACTTCTGGGTATATACCCAAAAGAAGTGAAAGTAGAGTCTCGGAGAGATATTTGTTCACCTGTGCTCACAGTAGCATTATTTACAATAGCCAAAAGGTGAAAGCAACCCACGTCCATCCACAGATGACTAGATAAACAAAATGTAGTATATGCGTACAATGGAATATTATTCAGCCTTAAAAAGGAAGGAAATTCTGACACATGCTACAACATGGATAAACCTTGAAGGCATTATGCTGGGTGAAATAAGGCAGTCACACAGAGACAAGTGCTGTACGATTGCAATCATATGAGGTACCTAGACTAGTTAGAACCATAGAAAGTAGAATGGTGGTTGCCAGAGAGAGCGGGGAACGGGGAGTTGTTTAGAGGGTACAGAGTTTCAGTTTTGCAAGATGAAAAGAGTTCTGGATGTGGGTGGTGGTGATAGCACAACAAGGTGAATGTACTTAGTACCACTGAACTGTATACATAAAAATGGTTAAGATGATAAATTTTACTTGTATTTTATTGTAATTTAAGATAAAATTTTCAACTTGATTCAATTTAAAAATGAAGCAACACAATGAACTGCCATTTGTTGACTACCAGAGTGGCACAGATAAAGTAAAATTAACAATTCTGTGTGATGGACGGGATTTAAGAGAAAGGGAACTTCATATCCTAAATAGCCTGCGTATCTGCGCTGGGCTCCCTGGCTCTGAGCCAACTCCTGTAGTTCAAAGAACGAGGAGACACAAAGCAAAAGACATGCTGCTGCTGGGGCCCACCTGTGGCTGAAGTTAGCGTTCCGAGGGGTGTGTGGCAGGGCAGCCACGGTGCTGGCTGGGGTGTAAACTCCGAGGTGATGAGCACATTTCTGGTCAATGACTTCTGTTTCCCAGTCAAGTGTGAGAGGTCGTCATCAGAAGGCTGGGAACCGAGGCAGTTTAGAGAAGGAAGGAGACACTGTAAAGAACTGTTCAGGAGGGCAAGCCTTCTGAGAAATAGGGCAGGCCAGCTGGGCAGTTCTGAGACACTTTGGGGATATGGCTGTGAGTTTTCAGCGGTACCCTTCGGCCCTGGTGTGAGTTGGGCATCAAGTGGCTCCCAAAAGCAAGAGGCCAGGAACAGAGTAGGCAGAGGGTTGTGTTCAGCCAGAGACCCAGCCCTGATAATGATCTAGATGACGTGACATTTGAAAACAAGAGGAAACTGAAAATAGAAAGTGGTGAGAGTATCACTAGCTACCTCATAGAGATGTTGTGAGGACAGGACGCCAGAGTATATAGAACTGACCAGCAGTTTCCAGGTGCTAAACATAGATTCGTGCCCATCCTTCCCTTCCCCTCCTGTCATTCCCTGAGAGCACAGAAGCCAAGATTCCTGGATGGCAATGGAGCCACGCCATCCCCCACCCCCCAGAGGGCACCTACCTGTCCAGCGGCAATGGGGGGAAGTTCCAGCATCCCAAGCTGCTCCCCAAAGCCCATCCCACCACAACCTCCTTGCCCATTGCAGAGATTGGTGTGGGCACCACCGGCTTCGGCATCTTCTTTATCCTCTTTGGAATGCTCCTGTACTTTGATTCGGTGCTCCTGGCCTTCGGAAACGTGAGTCCCCAAGCCCTGTGAACCTACCTGAGGTCTCCGTTGCCGGGAGGGTCAGCCCTGAGTTTATTCAGATCGTGCCCATCCAGGTTCTGGGCACCACCGAGCCCAGGCAGGCAAGGGGTGGCTGGGGATGGATGGTGAGGCCTATGGGGCACAGAGAATCTAAGGACCTGGATTCTCATGCCAAGCTCTGGGCAAGGTCCTGAGGGTACCAAGATGAATCAGACGCCCCGTCAGAATCCCACCACCTAGGGACAGGAATGTCACATCAACATACACGACTGAGGAGGAAGACAGGGGCAGTGGTCAAGTCACTGTAAGATAAACACATCTAATATGAAACAAGGTGCTTGGAGAAAAGAGAGCGCGCCCTGTGGGGGAAGGATGAAAAACAATTTAGAAAAATAAATGAGTGTGGGGGGGATAAAGCACTTCCAGGTGGATGGAACAAGAGAAGAGGTATGGAGAAGGGGAGGGAAAGCATGGAACGTGCTGGAAGAAAGCCAGAGAGTTAAGTCTGAAAGGAGGCCAGGCACTCTTAAGGGATCGTTGGGAGGCAAGCTGAAGGTGGTGACAGGGCCATAGAGTGGAGGGCCTGGAGAATGCTGCCACAGGCTGGAGCCCTGACACTGCCCTGTGACTCTGGGTGTGGCTGCCTAACCTATTTAGGCTTCAGCCTTCACCTCTGTAAAATGGAGAGAATCTCACTATCTTTCCCATCTTACTTAGGAGGTGTGATGAGAAATGATATCATGTAAGAAGTGCTTGGGATCCAAGAAATTGGGTCGAACTGGGTGACAAGCTAGAGACCTTCAGACGTCTCCTGGTCCGCCCTGCCTCTGGGCACTTCTGTTCCTAAGCAGTTCAAAATACTCACCCTCTCCAATATCACCCCTCCTTGACGAGTTAGCAAGTCCTGCCCTACGCCTGACGGGCAGCTCCAGGCCTGGCCCCTGACTCCCGAGGGAGCAGAGGGAGCCGGGGTGTTTGTTCTCACACCCACCCGCCCCCTCTCCCACAGCTGCTGTTCCTGACCGGCCTCTCCCTCATCATCGGCCTGAGGAAGACATTCTCCTTCTTCTTCCAGAGGCACAAGCTCAAGGGGACCAGCTTCTTCCTGGGGGGCGTGGTCATCGTTCTCCTGCGCTGGCCCCTCCTGGGCATGTTCCTGGAAACCTATGGCTTCTTGAACCTCTTCAAGTGAGTGCAGGTCCCCTTCCCCTGGATGGGCCCACCAGGGCCTCTGAACGGCTGAGATCAGGTTCGGGCTGCGTGACCAGCAGTGTATACAGAAGCTGGACTTTATCCTGCAAGAGACGGGAGCCTCAGAAGGGTTGAAAATGGGGAGGAGCATCAGGTGGACACCAACCGTAGGCTGAAGGATAAGTTGGAGGAATCAGCCCATCCATCAGTAAACATGGAGTACCTGCTGTGTCCCCATCACTGTGCCTGTCACCAGGGAGGAGACACAGGACCTGCCCTCAAGTCTGGCAATCCAGATAGGGAGGAAGGGCAGTGAACTAAAATCTACTGAGCCCCTCACATGCACCAAGCATGCTCACAAGCATCCTCTCATTTTGTCATCTCCACAACCCATTGTAGGATTGTCCTCTACTTGCAAATACGGAAACCAATGCTCAGAGAGGCTGCCCCTGCCCGAGCTCTCACAAGTAGTATGCAAAGGATATGAACTTGACCCAGGTGTCTCTGGCTCATGTTCCCATATCCCTCGGCCCGTCCAGTGTCAGCCTGGGCCTGGTGAAAGACACAGTGGAACTCAGCGAAGGTGTGTGGCCTCCATCAGGGCCAGGGAGGTGTCCCAGAGAAAGCAGGACCTGAGACAGGCCTTGAGGGGTGGGTAGGGTATCAGAGAAGACTGAAGTGTCCTTAAGGAGAAGAAAGAAAAGGATACTGAGGAAGACCATCTCTGGGGCACTGTGGAGAGAACAGGGGTGGGATGGGGATGATGTGGGCTAGAAGAATCATGGCTTATGGACTCATGGGAAGGAGCTGTGGACCAGGAACCCTAGGCTAATCGGAACCATCAGCTTACTCAGGGTAGCCTTGAAAACACCTGATCGGCCCGATGCCCTAGACTTCAGAGACATCATGTAGTGTGGTTGCAGGAAATGAAATTCTCTCACATGTGTTCTGCCATCCATTATTTTTCAACGATGTCATTATTCAAACAGTCATTCATTCAAATAGTCAGATATATAAAAGGTACCTACTACGTGCCACATACAGGGCTAGGTGTGGGGATATGGCACTAAACGAGGAGAAACTTCCTGTGGAACTTGCAATTTAGTGAAGAAGACTAACTCTGACAATAGTTACCATTTATTGAGGACTTGGAAGCATGAGTGGGGCCACTGCAGACTCAGCAGTTCTAACCAAAAGTAAACCTTGAGAAAGACACCTTGCAGCAGCATGGAAGGGGCTTTAAAAAAAAAAAACAACAACAACAGCAACTCAGAGCTATGAGACCTCAGAGACCCAAGCGAACCTCAGGGACCTGAGGCCCAGGGAAAGGAAGTAGCCCAGCCAGAGCTCAGATTTCTGCTCCCCTTCCCACACCAACCTCCGTGCCTCCGAGCCCTCTGAGGGATCACCCACCCACGCCAGTGGGGGTGTGGTAAGAATGGGGCGCCGAGGCGCGGGGGAGAATAAAGTGAGCGCAGCCTCCAGTAGCGATCCATGCCTGGAGCCCAGGAAACATGCGGCAGGCGGTACACACCCAGTCTAGGGAGAAGACAGTAACAATAATAAAAATAAACATTTCCCAAGCATTTCTTTGTGTAAGGCCCTATGACGTAGATACGATTATTATTAACCCCATTTTACAGCTGGAAATCGATTCAGAGAAGTGAAGAAATTTGCCTAAGTTTATACAGCGCCAGTGAGTGGTAGAGCCAAGATTTGAACCCAGGGAGTCTGACCTCAGGGCTTTCATTCTTAACTACTCCACTTGGCTGCCTCTCAAAAAAACAGGGGTGCAGAAGCATGCCCGTCCCCAGGGCCCAGGGGCCCATTCTCTTGGGAGCCAAAGCTGGAGCCTTAGGGGGGACCTCAGCCTCGCTGCCCTCACTGTCCCCTCTGGGGCCATCACTGACCACTCCCTCTGCCTCTCTGCTCCTAGGGGCTTTTTCTCTGTCGCCTTTGACTTCTTGGGCAATACCTCCAACATCCCCTTCCTGAGCATGGTAAGTGGATTATGCGTGTGGCTTGGTGGCGGTGCCTTGGGGTGGGGGAAGCACACGGACTTAGTAAAACAGCAGCCCCAGGTGCAGTGGACACTTCCCCATCTCCCCTCAAAGCCCCTTCCCCAGGTGGGCCAGCCTCAGCTCCTCTTCCCCTCCCTGTACCTTCTCCATTTGACAACAGCAGATGAGATGACAGGTGTGAGCAGTTGTGCCAAAGGTGTGGGTGTAGAGAACGGTGTTTGTCAGTAGCTCCCTATTACAGCCAAAGAAACGGAGCCTTAGGGATTCTAGGTGACCCAGCCAGAAAGTGCCAGACTTCCGGAGAGAGGGCTGAGTCTGGGCCCCAGGCAGAGAGAGGATGGGTGACAGCCAGTGACAACAGGAAAAGCAGGTGGCAGATTCTGTCCTCTCCTTGGGGCAGGCATGGGGCAGTGGTCCCTAGCCCCTGCCCCTCCCTTTCTCTGAAGCACCGGACAGTATACAAGCTCTCTGAGAAGCTCAGAGAGGCTCTAAGCCAGCACCTTGACATGCCCGCCCCCTGGACACACCCCAGCTGTCCCCTCTCCATATCTGCGCCTGGCACTGCTCCCAGCTCTCAAGGCCAGCTTCATAATAACCTAGATATTGAGTCTGTTCCTTGCTCTTTGTCTGGAGTAATGATTCTTGGCTCCCACAGCTGTTCCAGAGGCTTCAAGGCACCAGCTCAATGGTCTGAACAGCAGAGATAAGCTGCTTGAACTTGGATCATTGGTTGAGGGGGCTGGAAAGGAAATGGGGGCCACCCCCTCAGGCCCCCACCCGACACTGACTCATCTCCCCATCATACCCGGACCTCTCCAAGTCCAGAAGGAAGGATGGAACCAAGTGACTGACCTCAAATCCCCAAGTCAATGCAAGAAGCTGTCAGGACCGTTGGGAGCAGAGATCCAGGTCCCACGGAGATTGAACGGGGATCACACCCCACCCTGTATTTATCAGAGGAAAAGCAAAGATTAAATCCCCAAGCTGTAAATGTGCCTGAGACTCAAAGTCAGTGTCTCTAGCCCATTAAGTCCATTCTCTGACTCAGGGCAGGCCCACACACACGGCAAGAAGCAGGCCTGCTCTCGTGACCTATCATTCTTACCCTCGTGTTTACTAGTCCTAATGAGTGAGATAATATGTTTGCAAGCCCCTGTTAGCAGGAGGAATTAAAAAAGTGATGGGTATTAATCCCCATCATGGTGGGAAGTGGTTCTCAACCATTAATTAGGTGGATGTCTGCACAGCTCACCCACCAGGTAGCCTCTGTGCTGAGGTAGAGACATAGCCCCTACCTTCCAAGGGCCCCAGTCTCTGTCCTGGGAAGCACTTCCTTCAAGGGTAAAGCGCATCCTTGCAGGCCCAAGAAAGAGACAGGAGTCTCCCGCAATGCGTACATTTAATAAGTCTCTGTGAGGGCCCCGGTGTCTGTACGGAGCAAAGGAGCGGGTGCTGAGGGTGCAAAGGGAAGGAGACCTGCCCCACTTCAAAGCGAGGCTCACAGCAATTCCAAAACGGTGTGATCGAGGTGCCACAGGACATGACTGTGGGGCTCCAGGAGCAGCACCTCCGGAGACACTGCAGCTGGAAGGCACTCCTCTGAGTTCCCTTAGTGCTTCCCAGGTTAGCCCACCTTCTAGAGCTGCAAAGGTGCTGCTTTCTTAGCCAGCTGCTCACATACCTGTCTCTCCCATCGGACCTCGGCATGTTCATCTGCAAACCCTGTGCTGAGCACGTGCTCAGGAATTGCTTGGGGAAAGAAGGGAGGAAGGAAGGAAGAAAAAAATGAGACAATCCCCCCACCCAGTCCCAGATCCCAGATCCCAGCCCAGGAGCCGCCTTCTGGTCTGAGACCCCAACTGAGCTGCCAGAGCTGGGAGCACACGAGGAGCAAGGAGCCCCCGGGGCAGACTGTGCCACCTCCTCCCCTTTCCTCCCCTGCATCCTGCTTACTTGTCTGGAGGGGGAACATTGCACGCTGACACTCCGCCCCCCTCAAACAGTCCATTTCCATGTTGTTTGGGGCAGAATGGGTCTTGGAGTGGGTCTGGGGAGAAGCGGTGAGAAGGCTGGAAAGAACTAGCGGCAATCAGAAAGCCAGCCTTGGAAGGCTTCTGGAGGGGCAGAAAAAGGCTGATTTCAGTCATGAGAACCAGGAGGCGGGAGTCAGCCGTCATCGGCTCGGAGCGCTGTGCTCTCTGAGGGGGTCTGAGGAGGAGGGAGGGGGAGGCAGAGGTGGGCCTATGCCTGGAGACGTCACCATGGGCTTTATAAAAGGGACGTGACCAGGGAACTGGTGACAGCGAGCCCAGGAGCCCATCTCCCCTCCCTCCAGGTGTTCACTCAGCCAAGCAGCATCATCACCTCGGAGACCCCTCAGGACGGAGCCAAGGCAAGGTAGGTGCGCTGCAGCACCCACACAGGGGAAGGGTCTGGCCGGACCCAGGGAGGCTCCCAAGCTGGGAGCAGGAATTCAGTTCCAAGACTGACAGAGGTGTCCCAGGCAGGCCAAGGGGGCGCCAATCTTCCCTGATTACTCGGCTGGCCAGATTATTCTGGGATGTCTGGGTAAATAACGTTGACTTGCACTTTATGAAACCAGGACCTTGGGGATTCTTTTCTGTAGAAAGAATGAATACAATGAATGAACTCTCTGGCTGGGATGAGAGGCCACAGAAGCTGTTGGAGGGAGCTGGAGAACTCCTGGGGCTCACAGGCTCAATAGGACTCCTCTGGGCAGTTCCCTGATGTGTGGATGGCAAACACAGACCTAAACAAAGAGCCCCCGTGTACCCTGCCAGCTCCGGCACTAAGAGATGGGATCACCCCAGAAGGGAGATGCCCCACCCCAAAAGCTTTCCAACCAAGTCTGGAATTCCTGTTACTCTCTAGGTACAAAACCCCTGGGACAGGGAGACCACAAAAATGCCCACAGCAGGACAGCCACTCGTGGCCCCTTGGAAGCTGATGGTTCTTTTCCAAACAACTCAATTCTACCACATGTGTTAAAAGCCCCTGTGCTGAGCAGTGAACCAAGAGTTGGGGGAGGGGTGTAGTGTGTGTTGGGGACAGGTAGTGGGGGAAAACCAAAGTTCTCATGGTAAGTGCTACCTATGATGGGATGGGGAGGGTGCAATACAGGTGAGAGGAGCATGAAGAAGGAACACTACCTTCTAACCACACAGCCTGCCCTCTGCCCCCTTCCCCACTCGCCGTCCTGCTTCTGAAGAGCAGCCTGAATGCTCCATGTGAAATGCTAATCTACACACATTCCCCTCTGGCTCACACCACCCGGGGATGAAGCCCCTGGTGGCCCCTTCCCCAGCCTCATCACTCTCTCTCCAGCAAAGTTTCACCCTCCTGGCAGGCTGGAGGGCCTGCACTTCCCTCCACACCCAGCTCCAGCTCCCTTGCTGGGACTGCCTTCAGTGCTCAGGAACTCAGCTCAGGTGCCACCCCCTGCAGAAAGCCTGCCTGGACCCTCCACATCAGGCTCCCATGGGCTCTGACACACCCCAGGCCTCCCCACCCACCCTGTACTCACGTGCCTCCAGCCTATCATTTACCGTGTTATTTTGAGATGATTCTGATTACGACTCAATTTCTTGTGCTAGATCTCAGGGGAGGGCCTGGGGGAAGCAACCCTGTGAGCACACCTGTGCACCCATAGCACCAACCAGATGCTGCGATCAGGAATGATTTCTGAACTAACCTGGACCCTGTGCATCCATGGTCTGAAGCCACAAAAGAAATGGTTTTACACTGTTCTCTCTAGTGGACTGATCCTCTCTCTACTCCATGCCCTGCCCCAGGCCTTAAGGCAGGTGCAGAAAGCCATGGTCTGGGTTTCAGGGTGTCAGAGAGTCAAAGTCTGCAAGGATAAGTGACCATCTGAGGGGACAGTCGGTGGCCAGTCTGACTCAATGCTCTTATTTTATACATGGAGCAATAACGTCTAGAGATGGGAGGTGACTTGCTCTTGTCTCACAGGGAGGGAGAGTGGAGCTGTGGCTATAGATTTCAGTCCTCCTAATCCCACTCTTACTCTACCCCATGCCTGCGTCCCGGTGGGAGCAGGGAGAGGAAAGGGGAGTGGGGGCAACAATGGAGGGATGGATGGGGCTGAGCCACTGTTAGGAGCTGACGGGCACAAATGATAGTCCCCCCACCCTGCCCACTTACCCCTGGACCACAGAGGGAGGCTCGAGCCTTTAGATCTGGCACCCACTCCCTTCTGCTCAGCCTGCAGTGCTGCCTGGCCCTCCACCAATTTGTCTTTAATCATGTTTGGACAGTCTCAAAGTGCCTGGTGACTTTTTCAAAGAGAAATCAGACTTGGGAGCTGGAAGAGCTGGAGGGGTGGGGATGAGAGGGGAAAGGGGATGAAGAGGGGGTCACAGCACACAGCTCCCACCTCAACAGCCAAAATCATGAAGTCAATTAAATTCATATCCTCTCAGAGACCATGGGGAATAGAATATGGAGACAGTTGACCTGATAAATCAGGGAAAGTTTTTTTCTCTTTCCTGAATTACAGGCAATAAGACAATTTAATGATGGTTTTCAAGGCTATGAAGGGTTATGAGAGCAAGCAAGATGATTGCCTCTTTCTTCCTTTTGCTTGAAAAAGGAAAGGAATTAAGTTCCCATTACAGCAGGAGGGAACTGGGCCAGGTTCGGGAAGGCACATTCTAGCGGGGAGAGTGGAGCACAGAAAGTTGTCATTTATGCAGAGCCCAGCATGGAGGGAAGAAATGCCTGCTCCCAGGCTCCAGAGAGCAGGTTGGGACCTCAGCGCCCTCCATTCAGTGGAACTCCTTGCCCCACTTCACTTCACCTTTCCCTGCTCACTGCCACACTGCATCTCATTCCTTGTTTCTCCAACATTCCTCTCAAGCAAACCTGAGATTCAGAATCCTGGCCATTTTCCAACCCAAGCAGTCCTGCCCCTTCCACTGATATGGATCCTTCCTCCCTCCCTCCCTCCCTTCTTTCCTTCTCTCCTTCCTTCCTAACCTTACTGGCCTCACCTGCAGGAAGCCCTCCCTATGATTCTCACCTAGCATGAGTTCAGCTTGGACGATACGGTGCAAGTGGTCTCAGTCCCATTTCCGTGCTGTGTCTGTTCAGCCTCATCCCTCCACTGAGGGCCTCCAAGGGCAGGGGCTGTCTCCTCCCTTCCAGGGGTCCCACTTCACGCTGGGATCTGCCCCATCACCCAGCCCAGAGGGCATGCCTAACCTAGTCCCTCCTCCCTCTCTCTGTCTTGGTCTCAGGACACTTCCAGGATCAGGATGAACTCACTGGTTTCTTGGCAGCTGATGCTTTTCCTTTGTGCCGTCTCCTTCACGGAGACATTAGAAAAGGCGACGCCCATGAAAAATCCTAGAGCCACAGGTATGTGTTATCTGGGAAGAAGGGTGGGAGGGAGCAAGTGAGTTGTCGCAAAATGAGAGTTACCATATTCTTCAGATATGGCTAGTCTCTTGACGTGAATTTAAAGCTGCATTTAATGGAAACCTAAGACTGATACATGCAACACATTTAGGGGTCTTGCTAACCTTGCAAGCAAGGGATGTCTTGCCACTGTTACGGACATCAGGAGGCTCACCCAGGTTCAGCTGCTTGTTAACCACCGAGCTCCTGCATGGTTTTCTCTGCTCTCCGCCAACCACCTCTCTGTGCAGATCTGCTAGGAAGGAATTTACTATGCAAGTTTGTCTTATCAGTGACCTCAGTTCCTTTATGGGAAATTTGACTCCTCCCTTCCAGGGGTCCCACTTCACGCTGGGATCTGCCCCATCACCCAGCCCAGAGGGCATGCCTAACCTAGTCCCTCCTCCCTCTCTCTGTCTTGGTCTCAGGACACTTCCAGGATCAGGATGAACTCACTGGTTTCTTGGCAGCTGATGCTTTTCCTTTGTGCCGTCTCCTTCACGGAGACATTAGAAAAGGCGACGCCCATGAAAAATCCTAGAGCCACAGGTATGTGTTATCTGGGAAGAAGGGTGGGAGGGAGCAAGTGAGTTGTCGCAAAATGAGAGTTACCATATTCTTCAGATATGGCTAGTCTCTTGACGTGAATTTAAAGCTGCATTTAATGGAAACCTAAGACTGATACATGCAACACATTTAGGGGTCTTGCTAACCTTGCAAGCAAGGGATGTCTTGCCACTGTTACGGACATCAGGAGGCTCACCCAGGTTCAGCTGCTTGTTAACCACCGAGCTCCTGCATGGTTTTCTCTGCTCTCCGCCAACCACCTCTCTGTGCAGATCTGCTAGGAAGGAATTTACTATGCAAGTTTGTCTTATCAGTGACCTCAGTTCCTTTATGGGAAATTTGAAAAAAAAAAAATAGCCTACACAAAAGGACAGATCCTTAATATCTGTCAACATTATGAGTTCACTGTGAAACTGATGACCTGGAGAAACTGAGGCCCAAAGAGGTAAAGAAACGTTCCCGAAGTCACTCAATCCAATGCTGCAGAAACCCAGCAGGCACTGAGCTCCCACTGAGCTCATACAGGGCATGAGCTAGGACGGTGCTCATCCCCAAGTCAGGAGGTGGGTTTAACACTGCTGGGTGGTCAGCTTGGCCTCTGGGGACCTCAGTTCCTCTAGCTATGGAACTTGCAGCATTCTTTCTATACACAAGATATCACTGTGCCCATAAGCTATCCCAAAGCAAAGAGAACATGGCCCTGGGTGTCCTTTGCCAAGTGTGTCTTCTCTCCTGGGATCGGGTGTTCTTTCTGGGTGAGGGAGGATCCCCCAGAGAATAACAACATCACTGTCCTGGGACATTGAGCTCTTAGCTCTTTTTGGCAAAAGCTTTTAGGTGATGCTAAAAACAATAGCCTAGGCAGTGATCCTCCTGCTGGGATGGTGGCTATAGCTAGAAAGGAAGTCATTGTCTCTCCCATCTCAGCCAGGCCCAGGGCCCTCCTAGGAAGATTATAACTAACTCTGGACCATGCCCACTCTTCCCCAGAGTATGCCAGGGCATTGAGCAGGGCTCAAAGCCAACTACCCTCCACCCAACACACACCCACTCACACCCCAGACCTCATTTCCACTGATCTCCTGCCACAATTTGCTGGGGTCATTGTCTCCTGAGAGCTAGTTGCACTACTTTACTGCTAAAAAGTATAGTGCACTTAATGAGCCTTGCAAGTGAAGTGCCTTCCAAATTAGCCTCATTAACCCTCAGTGTGAAGGGGAAAGATTATACCTGGAGTGGGGGAGGTGAGCTGGTTGAGGTGCCCCAGATAATTTCCCTTCTTTGTTGAAGTCCTTATATAGCCTTTTAGGGGTCACACTTGTTGGGGGTGTGGAGGCACAATGGTCTTAGCTTCACTTGCTTCTTTTCTGTAACTACAAGCCTTTCATTAGCTTTTATATATTTAACAAGCATTTTTGAGGCCCTAGTATGTGCAAGGCACTGTTTTCAAGACTCTGAGAGACTCAGAGATGAATGAACATGGCCCCAACCGCCCTAGGAGCTCAGTCTAGTGGGAGCCTGATGCAGGGACGGGCCAGCCAGAGGGCCACGAAGAGGAGCAAAGCTGGGTGTCCAGCAAATACTTGAGTTTTCTTTCAAGCTCTACCCTGCTTGCTTCCTAAAAAAAAAAAAAAAGTAATTCAATATAAAAGACATTTAAGACAATTCTGTAAAACATCTGAAATCAAAGCTATGTTGAAGGAAGGAGGAGCAAATGGCCTAACCACACAAGCTAAGATGCTGCTGAGCTTGGAGCTCTGAGCTTCCTAGGGGTCAAGGAACAAAAGGGAAGCAGAGGATGGGGATGTGAGTAGGTGTTCCAAAGCCGTCTTTCCCGGGCCCCGGCGGCCTCACGTCAGCCTCTCCCTGTGGCTCTGTCCTAGGCCCGCGTCTCAGATCCCCGGCGCTCCTGGCCTCCGGGGCACAGAGCCCGCGGTGCGCGGAGAGGAAGCCCGCCGTTGCCGGCCCTCGGGGGGCCTCGCTGTGCCCTCCTCCCGAGAGCTCCGCTGGGCCCCAGCTGCCGGGCCTGTGCGCCCCCCGCAGTCGCCTGATACCCGCCCCGCGCGGCGCGGTGCTGGTACAGCGCGAGAAGGACCTGTCCGCCTACAACTGGAACTCCTTCGGCCTACGTTACGGAAAGCGGCACGCTGCGCCGCCCGGCAGCCGCGGCCAAGGCGCCGGGCGGGGCTGAGCGCGGAGGTGCGGCCTTAGACCTTCCAGTTCGGGGCCGGGGCTGGGGGCGGGCAGTGGGAGGGGCCTGCAGCTTTTTTCCTGAAGCAATAAAGGAAATGCTGCCGTCTCACCTGCTTGTGATCCGTGGCTAATTTTTGCAAGCGGCGCGGATGAGATTGTTCCCCTTCTCTCTCAGTTGGATCTTCAGCTGGTTTTAAGATGGCTTTAGTGTTATCAAGGTCAATGATTTTCAAACTAGAGGTAAAGGACCAAGTTGTTTTTTCCCCCAATTCGGGGCAGATCGGTACTTTTAAACACACACACACATACACACACACACACACACACACACACACACACACACAGTGAATCTCTATAAGACTTTTAAAAATAACTAAAAAGAAGCTCAAATTGGATGCTGCTTGGGTGGTGTTACTGCAATATCAAATAGCTATAAAAATTTCTGAAGATGTTCTCTTAATTCCTAGACCTATGTCACTGCAGATGGGTAACCAACATTTTTCAGAGGGCCATGAGCCGATACCCACACTTTGAGTAGCACTGATCTAGGCCAGGGGAAGGCAGATGGCTTAAGTACCTTCCCCTTTCCCAGGGAAGTTTTTAGCCAGTCGGACAGCCTGATCTGGAAGATGATGCCAACCACTACCCCATCCACTGAGGTTTAAATAACACCTTAGCTCCACAGTCAGACCTCCACTGGGGTGCTTGGCCACAACCACACTGAAGCCCCACTCCATGCGCAAGGAGTGTCAGCAGTGCACTGGGCCATCCATCTGCCAACACCCGCCTCCCCGCCCCCCCCCTCTGGAAACCCTGGATGGGTCCAGTGCTTTATGGTCATCACTTCTCTACGTCCTCTGAACCACCCAGGGGGCTGAGCATGTGTTGACCCCATTTTCACAAGTGAGAATCCTGAGGTTCCGAAAGATAAATATCTCACTCAAGGCACACAGCCAATGAGTGGCAAGCCATTTCAGGCTCCTGGCTTCCCCAATGCACTGTCGTCACACCTCTCTGACGTGGCAGGATTTCCATCTGAGTCATCTGTGGTGAACATCAGGAATGGTCAGCGTGCCTTGTGGGGACATTCCTGGGGGCCCCCAATAGCTGGGAAGTTTAAACTGCTGTAGGAAGGAGTAGAGCTTGTCAGTTGGGAAACTCCAGGAAATCTAGGCTTCTAAGCCCACAGGAAAACCCAGCCCTATTTGACAGCCTCACGCTTCGCGTACGCTTCTTGGTTTTGGCTGAGCTGGGTCTTCGTTGCGGTGCGCAGGCTCTTCGTTGCAGCACGGGCTTCTCTCTAGTTGCAGCGCACGTGCTTAGTTGCCCTGCCGCATTGGGAACTTAGTTCCCCAACCAGGGATCGAACCCATGTCCCCTGCATTGGAAGGCAGATTCTTGGCCCCTGGACCACCAGGGAAGTCTCTACCTTGCTTGGTTTAGAATGGAAATGTTCTTTCCTAGAAGGATTGTGTGGTCCACCACCACTCCATGAAACACCAGTGTTCCACCCATTACAGAAACCAGGACTCCATAGAATGGAGGCAGAGTCTTGTTGCTATGGCAATGAGATAGGTTGCTATGGGAACACGACAACCTGCCCTACCCCCATCTCTACTCTGAAACCGTCCTCCAGGATCTCTCAAATTATTGGTACTGCTGTGAGCTCATGTCCTAGCATGCATGACAGGGTGATGCTGTTGATATTTCATCCCCCAAACGGCCTGGGGTGTGTCTCTTTACCTTTGGGAGAGGAATCATAAACTCAACAGCTATTCTGTTAAGTGAGTTATTCTCCTATTCCCTGGACCAATCCTTTCTCTGATGAAGTCTATGCATAGGAAGAAGCTAATGGATCTCCAAAATCTGCTCTTAGTCAATCTAATTCTACAAAATTTCCTGTGATCCCCCCTAACTTCTCCTCGTGACCTCAAGTTTAGGCAGATAGGAGGCAGGGGTGTGTGTGTGTGTGTGTGTGTGTGTGTGTGTGTGTGTGTTGCTTCAGGGGCAGGACAGTGAAATGTCTTCTCTGGTATAAGAAGCAGGCCTGTGTGTGAGAAGGTATGTGTAAGAGGGGTAAATGTGAGAAACATACATGTGTCTGTGTGACACTGTGTGTGGTGTGGCCCCTCTAACTACATTTCAGGCCTCACTAGCTCCCCCTGCAACCCAAGTGCTCTCCAGGATCTCTGTTCTAGCTGCTTCAGTGGGTAGCAGGAGAAAAGCTGGATCCACCTGTCCTGGTCTTCCTGCCCAGGACTGTGCCTGTGAGACTCCAGGCTTTGCAGTTCTTGACCCCATGTTCTGTGAAGGGATGGGGATCTCCATGGGATGAAGGAGTTTTTGGTTTCATGAGGCTCCCAGCCTGACTCTGAACTGATTGGAGGGAAGGTACAGGCTGTGAGGGGCCCCAGGGACTCCCATCTACCTCCCAAGACTTCTGTGGGCTCAGAGAGCTAAGGCACCAGAGCCCAAAGACTTGGAGGTAGGGCTGCCTAGGGGCTCTCAAACCCAGTCCTTCCTGGGAACTCTAGACAGTCCCCCAGGGGCAAAAATCCAGGAGGACCTGGGCATCCTTCCCTGGGGAATGGGAGGTAGGAGCATCTCTTTCCATATTCCTTCCCTTTTGGTAAGTCTGTTGCACTAGTAGGGAAGTGGTCTCATGCCTCTAAGCAAAGGAATATGGAGGGCAGGGATGGGAGGGATGCAGGGGGATTTCTGCCTCTAGTATCACTAGTAATATATTAACAAGCATTTTTTTAGTCCTGTAGTGTGCCAAGCACAGGGCTACTCCATTTCAACCTCACAACAACTGCAAGAGGTGGGCAGTATTCTTGGAGAAGTCAAGTGGTGCGCCCAAGGTTGGCTGGCAAGTTAGAGAGCCCAGAGCGAGACTCTCACATTCTAATTGCACGTATCATAATCTTCCTACACACTACAGTCTTTCCTTTTTCTCTGGCCCTTCTGTGTGGCAGAGCCAACCCTCTTCCTGAATGATTTGTCTTGGGTAGCAGGTCTCTGGCAGCCAGTGTAACTCTATCCCGATGCCTCTCCAACTTCTTTAATGACAACACAGGTGAGGTTACCAATCCCCAGAGCAGGTCTTCTCCCCTCAAACCTCCTGTTTGGGGTCAGGCATCTGACTTTTGCCCCTGTCTGTCTCCTTTCTCTGGAAGCAGCTTCCCCGGGTCCAGACTTGGTCATAGGGAGGCAAAAGATGTCAAGTCCCAGGGGAGTTAGTATGCCCTTCCTCACCCTTCGTCCATTTTAAAACATCAGGCTTCCATACTCAGCTCAGAGCAGGGAGCCTGGAGGCCAGCAGGACTGGTTTTTGTTGTTGCGAAAGCCAGGGCAAAACAAAGAGCCCCCAGTTTCATCCTCATCTCGGGTTTTGCTTACCTATATTTTCTCTATTATCTGTCCAACAGAGTCTTAACAACAGTCTCATCCGCATGTTACCTTCACAAAATGTTTAAAGGTACCACTTTTGACACATTCATGTCTGCTCACACCCTAAGCCCCTTAAAAGATAGCAAAGGAACAAGAAAGGAATAAACTCCCAAGGAAAAAGAGAAGGGAAGGGAAACCACAGCAGATGAGAAATGACAACCAGATACTGAACACGGAAATTAGATGGAGGGCTTGGCAGAATGAAGGAAGCTACAACCTCAAAGCCAGCAAAAAGGTCTACTGAAGGGCCATGACTGATTCACCCCGAGGACCAAGTCTCTGTACTTGGAGCTACCTGGGACGAATTCTAGACTGAAAACAGGGGACTGGCTGGAAATCTCTACATGGAGAAGTTAGACTTCCTGAGTCCCCACGTCCAGCTAACACAGCCTGGCTACCCTGCTCCCCCATGAGGAAGAAGCTAGAGACTTTCTCTCTCGAGGATTCAGTAGAGACCTCTAGGCAGGGGGTCACTAGCACAATGAGGATGGGGATAAAGAGGGTGTCTGACAAGAGGGAAAAAAGAGAGTAGACTGTGAAATTCTGCCTGGGTGAGCCCTTTCCCAGTTTCTTCCCAGAATGCAGGGCACAAGGACCACCTCCCCAAATGGGAGAGAGAAAGCCCCAAAGAAAAGACCGACAGATACTGACATTGAAGGGTACCTACCTTTGTCCATTTGGGCTGCTTTAACTAAGTACCACATACTGGGTGGCTTATAAACAACAGAAATTTATTTCCCACAGTTCTGGAGGCTGGGAATTCCAAAATCAAGGGACCCCCGATTCAGTGCCTGGTGAGGGCCCACTTTCTGGTTCGTATATGGCTATGCTTTTGTTGTATCCTCACGTGGCAGAAAGGAGCAGGGAGCTCTCAGGGGTCTCTTTTATAAGGGCTACTAATCCTATTCATGAGGGCTCCACCCTCATGACCTAATCACCCATGAAGGCCCCCCACTTCCTCATATCATCACATGGAAGGTTAGGATTTCAACATATGATTTTGGAGGGCACAAACATTCAGTCTACGGCAGCGCTCCAGGGAAAATCTGCTCAAAGCCCCCATCTAGAGTGGGGTACACCAGCTGTGAGCCTTGCCCCTGCACACCGAGTTTCTAGGCCCCTCCACCTGTCTGTCTTAGCCCTGAATGGAGAGCCAAGTTGTCCCAGGAGCTTGAATAAAACCTCTAGTTTGGAAGAGAAGACCAAAGCAAACAACACAGAGAAACCAGAGACACCAAGAAAAAAATTAGTCTGTAATTAATATCCTCAGAGGGAAAAAAAAAATTAAAAAAACAAAATCCTCAGAGGGCATAAGAGAAAATTTTGCACTCATAAAGCAAGTAGTGGGCGCTTCCCTGGTGGCACAGTGGTTGAGAATCTGCCTGCCAATGCAGGGGACACGGGTTCGAGCCCTGGTCTGGGAAGATCCCACATGCCACAGAGCAGCTAGGTCCGTGTGCCACAACTACTGAGCCTGCGCGTCAGGAGCCTGTGCTCCGCAACAAGAGAGGCTGCGATAGTGAGAGGCCCGCGCACCGCGATCAAGAG